TCTCTCCCTCTCCTCTTGAGTGCTAGGGATTAAAGGTGTGCACCACCATGCCCATTTTGGTATAACATTCTTTCTCTCTTTCCTCCTCCTCCTCCTTTTACTTTCTCCTTCTCTTTCTTTTGAGACAGGATTTCTCTGTGTAGCCTTGGCTGTCCTATACTCACTTTGTAGACCAGGCTATTAGCATTGATATCACTGTGATCCACCTGCCTCTGCCTCCCTGAGTCCTGGGAGTAAAGGTGTACACCACCACTCCCAGCATAATATTGTCAGTAAATGTACTTAATGTATTTTGATATATTCACTCCTCCATTTTTCTCATTAGTTCCAATTCCTACTCCTATTGACCTCTTTCTCTTATTCTCTGCTCTAGTTCCTTTTTCACTTTTATGTCTGCCCCCTCGACCACCCCCCCCCAAAATAGTGAGTTTCTTAAGGATCATTTACAGAAGCTTGGTTAGCAACCAGTAACTACCTGTAGATCTTCAGGGATGGGTGTGGCATAAAAAGTCTTTTCCATGACAAGATATTAGCTCAGATCTCATGTAGATCTCATGTGGGTATTCACAGCTGCTCTGAGTTCTGGACTGCAATGGCCATGCCATGCCTGCTCTTAACATTCTTTCTGTCCTCTCTTTGTTGAGTTTCATGGTACCTTGGAGGAGGTGATATAGATGTTCGATTTAAGGCTGAACATTCAATAGTCGCTTATTCTTGCCACTTAGGACAGTTAAGAATTCATAGTTTCTGCTGAGCACAGGCACAAAGAAGCTCCTCTGACCAAAGCTGAGAGTAGTACTTATGTATGGGGATATACACACTTTGAAGGCAACTTGATAGGTACATCCCTGGACTTCAGTTTTCTAGTCTGTGCTGTGTTAACGCTGTTTACTCTACACAGTCTATTAGGGGGATCAGTGCAGAGTACAAAACAGAATTCACAGCCACTAGAAGTTTCTTTTTCTTTTCTATCCAAAATTTGTTTATTGGGATAGTTTCCCAATCATCTTGATTTAATGATGTTTTTGGTGCACCTCACTTCCACCATACCCCAAGACCTCTTGGGTATAGTCATTCACTGTGTTCTTCTTTAGGGTTTCTTAAGGGAAACTTTGAATCCTAGCTTAGGTCATCTAAGCAGGATGTCTGATACCAAAGGGAGCAAATATATTTTTCCCAGGGACTGAGCCATTTCTCAGCATTGTAAGGAATCTGCTCACTGGATGCATAGAGGTTTTATTTCTAGAACAAAGAGCTAGATATTTTTCTTTACCTTGAAAAGCAGGGACTTTCATCCCTCTAGCCCTGCCCCACCTGAAATAGACGTCTTGGCTACTATAAAAAATTGGAAGTGAGTAATTGTTAGCCCAGTTTCCTTGTTCTTGAGATTGGAAATGGAGCCAAGTGTTGGCTGATCATAATGGCTCCCATCACTCTATGGACCTTAATTGGAGATTTCCTTGTAGCCTGTAGTCACAGGTCATCTCTTTTGTCCTTTGTTCTTTTTCAGTATCAGTTCTGACTTTAGACTGTATTTCCTTCCTCTCATATCCTCACTTTGGAACTTCAGCATCGCTCCAAGCTCAAGAGCTTAAGGAAGTGGAAATTTCATACCGTTTTGATTTCCCTATGCTCACAAAAAAGGAGGCAGTACTCATATCAAAATTCCCTTCTGTCTTAGGTTTTCTGAGCTGCCACAAATGGACTCTTGGTTTAGGTAAAAAGCCAGTTGTTCCTTTACCAGTTCAGTTTCTTTTACACCACTCCTTCAGTACCTATGCATGGTAGCCCTGTAACCTATTCTGTCTTCAGTGGGTCTTTTTCTTTCTCTAGGATTTGAACATTTGGAACTTTTCTTCTTTTCACCAGTTGTATTTCAAACATAATTCTGAAATCATATTGAAAAATCAGAGCTAGAACTTGGGTCCTATGTTAAATGTAGGGCAAGAACCATTAAAAAAAAAAAGGAAAGAAAAAAACACTTCCCCTACCCATCACTTCTTGTGAGATCATTTAAAAATTTCTCCTAAATTAGATAATGAGGAAGTTAGAACCAGTGAAAGAAATTCACTGGCTGCAAATTACAGATAAAAGATTTGCATGGTAGCAAATTACAGATGAAATGGGCATGGTGGCACATTCCTTTAATCCCAGTACTCAGGGAAGCAGAGCTATGTGCATCTCTGTGAGTTCCAGGCCAGTCTGGTCTACAAAGTGAGTCCAAGACAGCCAAGGCTATGCAGAGAAACTCTGCCTCAAAAAAGCAAAAAAAATATTTTTGTGGAAAAAGGGGAACCCACCTCAATTGATGGTAGAAATGTAAACTTGTACAACCACTTTGGAAATCGATCTGGCGCTATCTCAGACAATTGGGAATAATGCTTCCTCAAGATCCAGCTATACCACTTCGAGGCATATATCCAAAAGATGCTCAAGTATACAACAAGGACATCTGCTCAACCATGTTTGTAGCAGCTTTATTTGTAGTAGCCAGAAGTTGGAAACAGCCCAGATACCCCTCATTGGAGGAATGGATACAGAAATTGTGGTAAATCTACACAATGGAATATTACTCAGCGATAAAAAACAAGGAAATCATGAAATTTGCAGGTAAATGGTGGGAACCGGAAAACATCATCCTGAGTGAGCTATCCCAGAAGCAGAAAGACACACAGGGTATATACTCACTCCTAAGTGGATACTAGACATATAATATAGGATAAACATACTAAAATATACCTAAGGAAGCTAATCAGGAAGGAGGACTCTGGCTAAGATGTTCAATCCCCATTCAGAAAAGCATTCTTGATTTTTATTTATTATAAAGGAATAATATGATTTCCTTTTTTTTTTTTTTTTAATTGCTGAGTAGTATTCCATTGTGTAAAAGTACCACAAATTCTGTATCCATTCCTCAACTGAGGGACATCTGGGTTGTTTCCAGCTTCTGGCAATTATAAATAAAGGTACTACAAATATGGTTGAGCAAATGTCCTTGTTGTATAATTGAGCATCTTTTGGATATATGCCTAGGAGTGGTATAACTGGATCTTGAGGAAGCGCTATTCCTAATTGTCTGAGAAAGCACCAGATTGATTTCCAAAGTGGTTGTATAAGTTTACATTCCCACCAGCAGTGAAGGAGGGTTCCCCTTTCTCCATATCCTCTCCAGCATGTGTTGAAGGAGGACTCTGGCTAAGATGTTCAATCACCATTCAGATAGGCAAAGGGGATAGACATCTGAGGAGGGAGAAAACAGGGAACAGGACAGGAGCCTACCACAGAAGGCCTCTGAAAGACTCTGCAGGTAGATGCTGAGATTCATAGCCAAACTTTGGGCAGAATGCAGGGAATCTTAATGAAAGAAGTGGGAGATAGTAAGACCTGGAGAAGACAGGAGCTCCACAAGGAGAGCAACAGATCCAAAAAGTCTGGGCACAGGGGTCTTTTCTGAAACTGATATTCCTGCCAAAGACCACTCATGGAGATGGCCTGAAACCCCTCCATGGAGGTAGCCTATGGCAGTTCAGTGTCCAAGTGGCCTCCATAGTAATGGGGACAGGGACTGTTTCCAACATGAACTGACTGGCCTGCTCTTTGATCACCTTCCCCCAAAGAAGGAGGAGCAGCTTTACCAGGCCACAGAAGAAGACAATGCAGCCACTCCTGATGAGACCTGACAGACTAGGATCAGAGGGAAGGGGAGGAGGACCTATGGGGAAGAGGGTGGGTGGGATTGGGAGGGGAGTAGGGAGGGAAGTACGGGGAGGGGGAGATACAAACAGAATAAACTGTAATTAATAAAACTAAAAATAATTTTTAAAAATTAAAATAAATAAATAAAAACAAAACAAGAATGCTGAAGGACAATATGTGAGAGTACCCCAGGAGAATATGATACAGGAGTTAACCCATGAATCTTTGTCTACAGAGTCTAATCCATTCTGGGAGCAGATGCTATATAGCATTGTAGTAGAAGAAGGCAGTGGCAGAGAGTATGATAATTGGCTCCATTTGGAAATATGACATAATTTAAATCAACTCTGTTGCTCAGTATCTGCACATTGGGCATATAATGTCTTTTCTGGAATTTTGTTTTTACTGTCTGTATAGTGAGCCCCATTGTACTTCTGTAATAGGTCTCTTGAGAATCAAAGATGATAATGTGTGTGTACCAGTATTCACAGTAGTGCTTAGTGGGGCAAGAAAGTGATACCAGTTCTTTTTTTCTTTTTAATTATGTATTAAGCATTTGTTAATTGTATAAGACAATGAATTTATGACATTTTCATACACATATTTTTATTACAATGACCCTCCTTTTATCCATCAGTTTTGTACTTTTCCTCTTATGTTCTTTTTTTTTTAATCCATACTCCTTGTATGACAGTAATACTTTTTAAAATATTTTTTTTTAATTATTTGGGAATTTAATGCATGTACACAATGCATTTTGGTCATATTCACCTCCTTCTATCTACTTTCATATCCTTTATCTCTCAACGTCATATACTCGTTTTTCTTAACCCACAGAGTCTAGAGTCTTGCCAGTACGTTCCTAGGTGTAGAGCCATCCACTGGCGTATGGGAAACCTACCACAGACCACATCTTTGAAGAATATGGACTCTCAATCTTCCAGGAGCCATCGTCCCTGACAATAGGCTTTAAGTACATTTTCTTTCCAGACTGGCAGTACCTTAAACCCTTTTTAGGGTCAATTAAGTTTGTTCCACCTTTATGTTCTTTAATTCCTGGCACAGGGTAGATATTAAACTACTGACTGTTTTGTCTTTTCCAGGTGGTGAAAACTATTGGCTTGAGGGAAGTTTGGTTCTTTGGGCTGCAGTACCAGGACACAAAAGCTTTCTCTACTTGGCTGAAACTCAATAAGAAGGTACATCACTCTCAGAAGTTGTTCCAGGTCATAACATATGCTGGCTAGCAAACCTGAGATACTCAATCAGCAAAGGGAACCTTATTTAGAGTGTTAGTTTAAAAAGTTGCATGGAGGGGAACAATCAAACTTAGCCAGCTGTCCTAAGTCAGAGGAAGATTTCCATGTTTATGTAAGATTGTTGCTTTCTACAGACAAAAGATTTTTTTTTCTCATTTGCCTGCATGGCTGGTTCTGCAGCTTCCATAACAAGCATCTCTTTTTTATTTTGAGAAAGGGTTTTGTGTTCTAGGCTGGTCTCAAGTTCCATATGTGGCAGACACTGATCTTGAACATATGATCTTCTTGTTTCCACTTTCAGAGTGTCGTGATTACAGCTAGCCCAACACTATACTCCTGTTACTTTCATCAAACTATAGGCAGAGGACTCAACCAAAGGAAAGTTTCTGTATTTCAACTTTGACTTCTGAGCAAGATGGCTAGCCAAAGGAGTGGAGACTCTTCTTTAATTTAGACTTGTTTTAGACAAAGCTTTAGTGGTTTAGGGCAAATTTGAGGTCTGTAGGATTGTCAGAAAAGCCCTGCGTAGTATCTTCAGACACCTGGCAGGCTTCCCTCTCCATATCCTCAAACTGGCTAACTGTTGACTCAATATTGTGCTGTGGGAATTTCACTGTATTCTTCAAAGAGTCTTGTTTTCTTAAAGGATGAAAACTTTGTAGAATTAAATTTAGTTATTTACTATATTTATATTTCTTATGTCTCTGCATGTGAATCTGTGCATGCATGCATATCATGGTACATGTGGCAATTCTCTCTTCCACTTTGTTGGTCCCCAGGATCTAAATGAGATCATCAGTCTTGGAAGCAAATGCCTTTAATTTCTGAGTCATGTTGCTGGTCCCAACAATGGGTAAATTGGGAGCCATTTTCGGGTTTAGAAGGTCATCTGGTTTATGGTCTTACCTACACATTTCTGAGGTGTCAGCCAGACTTTCTATTCTCCAAGAGTTTGTTGAGTTGGAAGACACTTGAAAGAAGAGCTGTCTGGGCCGGGAGAGATGGCTCAACTGTAATTCCAGGATATCTGATGCCCTCTTCTGGCCAGCATAGATGCCAGGAATGCATGTGGTTTAACATCCACACACACACAAAATATAAAATAAAATAAGTTTTATAAAAGAAGCTTAAAAACAGTGGAGTGTTCTTAAATCTACCCTTAGAATTAGAGATCAGCTCCACGAGGACCAAATATATCTGGGCACAGGGGACTTTTCTGAGACTGATTCTCCAACCAAGGACCATACGTGGATATAACCTAGAAACCCTGCTCAGATGTAGCCCATGGCAGCTCAGTATCCTAGTGGGTTCCCTAGTAATGGGAACAGGAACTGTCTCTAACATGAACTCAGTGGCTGGCTCTTTGACCTCCCACCTCCCAACCTAGGGAGGAGCAGCCTTGTTAGGCCACAGAGGAGGACATTGCAGCCTGATGAGACCTGATAAGCTAGGGTTAGATGGAAGGAGAGGAGGACCTCCCCTAGCAGTGGATTGGGGAGGGGGCATCGGAGAAGAAGAGGGAGGGAAAGAGGGATTGGGAGGGAATGAAGGAGGGGGCTACAGCTGGGATACAAAGTAAATAAACTATAATTAATATAAAAAAATAAAAATTTAATTAAACTAAAAAAAAGAATTTGAGATCGGTATAATGGTGGCTTCTGTCATCATTGTGTATTATTTTTTAAGAGGAAAATTCTCAAGAGGAAGAAATGTGTATAAGATTTCCCAATGAAAATAATACTTTTGTTTTCTGTTTTTTATTTTTATTTTTTTTTAAATTATGAGAGTTGCCTCCCAGCCTTAGAAGAGTACCCAAATTTACAGTCTCTTACAGTACCTCACAGATATTCTCCCATCACCAAAATCTATTTTTGAGAGCCTATATAACCTCCTTGCTCCTCCCAGGTGACTGCACAGGATGTGCGGAAGGAAAGCCCGTTGCTCTTCAAGTTCCGGGCCAAGTTCTACCCAGAGGATGTATCTGAAGAACTGATCCAGGATATCACCCAGCGCCTGTTCTTTCTGCAAGTAAAGGAGGGCATTCTCAATGATGACATTTATTGCCCACCTGAAACTGCTGTGCTGTTGGCCTCCTATGCCGTCCAGTCTAAATACGGTGACTTCAATAAGGAAGTGCACAAGTCTGGCTACCTGGCTGGAGAGAAGTTGCTGCCCCAGAGGTGAGGTGGTACCCCAGCCTCCTTTGACCTGGCTAAAGTAGGTAGTGTGTAGCAGCCAGGAGCTGGTTAATCCTCATTCCATAGGGGCTACCAGATAAATTTCTTTTCACTGGATTCTGTCTAAAGACTATGTTGTGATGCTCAGAGAGACAGATTTGCATATGTTATTGTATCACATTTTACTTCTGGTCCTTAATGCTTTTTTCCTCTTTCACTCCTTGATTTCAAAGCTCAATCACTCAGAAGATAGGTGCTTACGTAGAAGCAAAGATAGGTCGATTTGTTTTGGACTTTCCCCTGGTTCCATTTTTTTTTTCACTGATGAGATTTTATGTTAGAAATTCACAGGAGACAGAGAAAAAAGATGGAAACCATGAGTACCATAATCTGAACTCTCAACACTATTCATTTTCAAGGAAGTTCATGAGTTGTTTGTGGATTTTACATGCTTCCTCCACACACAGCACAACATCCTAAAACAAATGGAAAATCATTTACATACCCACGAATTCAGACACACTTGGAGTCCTGTTTTCTGTGTGTGCTATTCTCTGTTTATTTGTAACTGTGGTTACTGTTAAGCTAACCCCTACAGTCTGGAGCAAATACCAAACTTGAATCAAGTGCTGCCTAGCTGTACAGCTGCAAAGAATTTCCATTTCAGGGGAGTACAATGCCATCATGATTTTTCTGATTTTGTAAACTTCAAATGTGAAAGCTCTTAAGCACTTAACATTTTTTTTTGTTTTGTTTTAACATCATGTCAATGCTAAATAAACAAGGCAAGTGTTTTCTTATTTTCTGGCTCAGGAAATAGAGATAGAGGTACGTGCTCATTTATCCCATTTCCCACAGCATATTTGAGGCAGAACTGACCAATTTCTTGATTTCTCCAATTTCTTGATTTATTTTTTTTTAATGCACGAGGGGATTGTTTCATTTTGCATCAAATGGCCATTTGTTTCCATCGGCTTTTGGAATAGGAGAAACACTAAGCCTGATTGTGGGATCCCTAGTGAAATTGGAGATGTGACATGTAAACACTTCATCAGGAGGTATTAGGAATGGTAATTGTGCCCTAGGACTCTTTTGTAGCCAGTGGTATGTTGTCCAAGATGGCATTTTTAAAGCAGGCTTTGAATTAACAATCTGGTGACAGTCTGGTAGATGGTACATTTAAAGCAGGCTTTGATTAACAATCTGGAAATGCCTTTTGGTTTCCTCAGAGTAGTTTGGGACTCCTTATCTGCTCTGTATCCAAAGCTGTCTTATAAATTCCTACTGTTGTCCCCAAGAGGATGTAGGAGAGAATATTTCTGCCTGCCTTTACTGCCAGCCGCTCAACATGGACTGGAATCCTGATATATTATTGTGGAGGTTGGATATACAGTACGTTATTAGCTTTGTGGTTAAAGGAATAAAAAAGGTCTCACCTTTAATCCCAGAATTTAGGGGGTGGAGGCAGGTAGAGCTTTTTTCAGTTCAAGGCCAGCCTGGTCTACATAGTAAGTTCAGGACAGGAGAGCTCTATAAATAGAGAGACCCCCATCTCAAACAAGCAAACAAATAAATAAATGAGAGAAGTGAGTAAAGAGGATGATTCCATTGTCCTGTTTGGTCATCTGTTCTTGGAGCTCTTCTTTTAAAAAGTTCCTTATGTCCGCTTCAGTGTGTTCAGCTCTAAATTTTTGTATGAACTCAGTAATACCTCCATTGGCTAACTTCACATTTAAATCAACTCCAAAGAGCTCCCCTTCCCTCCTACCTATGTTCTGTACTTTACTGATCACTCATTGTCTTTCTAGAGTCTTGGAGCAGCACAAACTCAATAAGGACCAGTGGGAAGAGAGGATCCAGGTGTGGCATGAGGAACACCGGGGCATGCTCAGGTAAGCCTCCCCTACCAGCTGTGAGCTTCACTGTCCTTGCAAGAAGAATGAGGATTGGGTGTACAAAGAAGAGACAAATTATTAGGGACGTTGATGGATTGTAAGAAAGAAAGATAGGGATGATTTTAGTACTTACATATAGAATGCAAACTTGAAACAAACTGTGATTTCATTTTAGGCTTTTTATTAATTTGTAAGAGCAAAGTTTTAATGAAAAGATTATCAACTATAAAATCAGGACAATTATTTATTTTTTATTTTGCATGTTGTGTCTGTGTGTCTGCACACCTGTGCTTCATGTCAGTGTGCACATGCAGAGGTCAGGGGCAACTATTGGGAATCTATTTTCTTCTACTCTACTGTGTAGGTCCCAGTAAACTGAACTCAGGTTGTAAGGCTTACTGGTCAATGCTTGACCAAGTGACCCATCTTGCCAGCCCCAGAAATTCTTTTGAGAAATGATCTCACTATGTAGCCTAGGCTGATCTTGAACATACAATCTTCCAGCCTCTCTCTCTCTACCTTCCATGTGCTGGGATTACAGGTGGTGCATGTTCCACCACTCCCTGTATCCTAAACAGTTTTGACTATAATGAAAAGGAAGGAAGATCAGGCTCTCCAGAAAGTTTCTGGGCTACCTTGTCATTTCTCCCTTAAAAATAAATGGGAAAGGAGTTTTCTCAATATTGTAAAAGCATTTGATGGCTATCTATTTAAGGAACAAATCTCATTTTACTATCAGTACTCTGTCTAAATTCTACTGGGAATGTACGTCTATAAGAGGAAGTCACAATGCATAGGAGGGAGAATATAGCTTTTTCTGAACAGTTAATATTCCAGAGGCCAATAAGTGACAGTCTCTCCTTATTCTTTAGGGTCCTGACAGTAGTCTTTGTTTAACAGAAGTCATGTGTGTTCTTGTTGCTCATCACTTGCTTAAGTTCTTTCCATTTCCTAGTCCACTGTCAGAAACAAAGAGCAAGCTGACTGGGTCTGCTAACGAAGCCCTACTTTGTGACATTCCCCCTTTCTTTTTCTGTGTCATATAGGGAAGATGCTGTCCTGGAATACCTCAAGATTGCTCAAGACCTGGAGATGTATGGTGTGAACTATTTCAGC